ATACATACCATACCATACACATTCTGCTTCTAACCACCTGCAGATTTGATTTACTTTTAAGTATCTTATAAAAGATACTGATCATCTGATTTCATGATCCCAAATATTCAAATTTCAGAATATAATTAACAATACTGCTCAATGCACAAAGCCATAATAAATAAGTGTGTAGTTAAAAAAAGAAAAAAAAGGAGTTATAGGAAAAGCTGGAATAATGTTTGTTTTGGAGAAAAGACCAGTTTTTCCCAATTCCACGAAGATTCTTCCAGCACCTGTGTTCCAGGTGCTTCCAGCCTCTTCAAAGTATCCACAGAAGAGGACAGAGTCGGTGCCTTAGAGGAGAGGCAAATGTGCTGCCGCTTCAGGTTAGGCCGGGCTTTCCACCGCTACCCCTCACAGGCGTGGGGAGGGCTCCCAGCAGGGCATTCTCTCTAACTCTCATGGCAGTTCTGCAAAACAGCTACTCTTAGCCTCATTTTAAAGACGAGGAGACTGAGACTCGGCGAGGGAGGCAACATATCTGAGTCACACAGCCCAGGAGACATAAACACAGTTGAGCTTCCATCTGCCCACCTCCAGAGTCCCTTTTATACCACGTGTGTCCCCAGTAACTACAATACAGACTAAAATATCAAAGTGTGATAACAGCAAAACAAAGACCTGAAAAGCGTGGGAAAAGAAAGCAATCGTGGCTGGTTACCTGGGACCAGGAAAGCCTTTGTGAAGACTGAGGCATTTGAAACAGGCTGAAAAAAGTAGAATGTCAGCAAGTGGAGATGGGGGGAATATGATAAAAACCTCTAAACTATGGCCTGAAATGCATGTTGGACTGCAAATTCCGTTCTTTCTTCTAACTTTAGGTAGATAAAAATTATTATCATTCTTTAAGCTTATGATTTATTATCTTACGAGAGTATAAAGGCTTTTCATCTTTACTGATACCACGTAAAGAAAATGAACTAGAATTACAAGGAAGGTTTTAAGTTCATATCACATGCCTTATAACTTAAGAATGGTGGTCTGGACACTGACACCAGTAAGAAAAGAAAAGAAAAGAAAAAAGAGAAGAGAAAAGAAAAAAAGAAGAAAGAAAGAAAGAAAGAGAGAGAGAGAAAGAGAGAGAGAGGGAGGGAGGGAGGGAGAGAGAGAGAGGGAGAGAAAGAGAGAAAGAGAGAAAGAAAGAAAGAAAGAGAGAAAGAGAGAGAGGGAGGGAGGG